AAAAAATATATCTTATTTATCCATTCATCAGTTGATGAGCACTTGGGCTATTTCCAAGATTTAGCTATTATAAACTGTGCTTCTATAAATGTAGGTATGCATACTTCACTGAAGTACAATACTTTAATTTTTTCAGGAAAATACCAAGAAGGGAAATAGCTGGGTCAAATGGAACCTTCATCAAAACTTTTCTCCCCAACACTGTGGATTGTCTCTTCACTCTGTTGGTGGTATCTCTTACTGTGAAAAGGTTTTTTAATAAGATGAGGTCCCAGTTGCTGATTCTTTGTGATAGTTCTTGTACAATTGGGGTTTTGTTCATAAAGTCTTTGCCTACATCAATGTCTTCAAGAGTTCTGTTTCTCTCTTCCAGTATATTTAGTATTTCTGTTTTAATACTTAGATCTTTGATCTATTTTGATTTTAGTTTAGTACATGATAAAAGATATGGGTCTTGCACAAAGCCAGTTTTCCAGCTCGATTTATTAAAGAGGCTATGTTTCTTCCAGTGAAGATGTTTCGCTCCTTTGTCAAAGTAAGGTGTTGAGTATGTTGTTTCTGTATCTTCTAATCTTTTCCACTGATCTTGTTTCTGTTTTTTTTTTTTTTTTGGGGGGGGGTGTTGTTTTGTTTTTTGCCAGTACCATGCTGTTTTTCTCATAGCAGTTTTGCAGGATAATGTGAAGTCAGGGATTATGATGCTCCCTGCCTTGCCTTGTTGCCCAGAACTGCCTTGGCTATTCTAGTTCTCTTCTGGTTCAAATGAATTTCAGGACTACTTTCTCATGCTTTCAGAATTTTAAGCAGGACTGCATTAAATCTGTAACAATTTTGAAAGTATGGTCATTTTCATACATTGGTTCTTCCTACTGAAGAACAAGGGATGTCTTTCCATTTTCTGATAGCCTCTTCAATCTCCTAAAGATTGAAAGCTCAGCACAGCTTGGGCATTAAAAAAAAAAAAAAAAAAAAATGCTTCTCTTAAAGATATAATTCTTTAAAAAGAGCAAACTTCTCATGCATACAGCATGGATGAAATTCAAATATACCATGTTCAGTGCAAGAAGCCTGACTCAGAAGGCCAACAACTGTATGAGTCTATTAATATGACATCCTAATATAGGCAAAATTATTGCCAAAGCAACCTGTTGAATGGTTTCCAGGGCCTGGATATGGGAAAGGAATGACTAGATCTGGGGAGGAGATCGTTTTGTATCTTGCTCACAACTATGTGAGCTCTACTGAATACTAAATGATAAATTTTTAATGTGCAAATAATGCCACAATTTAGAAAAAATACAATCATGATGAATTCAAATCCCTAATACTGTCCCGGAGCTATAGTTCTCAAATTGTACTCTAGAAAGGCCTCAGAATGCACTCAGGACACAGAATGGGCTTGTGTGTAGAGGAAGAAGCCAGAGACCTGCGCATACCATTCCCCTATGTGTAGCTCCACATGTTCTTTTTTTGTCTTCACATACATGTATCTATTTTTAAAATGCTTAAATCCTAATAGTTAAAAGAAAAAGAAAGGGAAAAAAAACACTTCAGAAACACATAGTCTACTATCAGACACTATAACCAGAGAAACACTGTGTTATAAAGAGAAGGTGTCAACATCAGGGCACTGAAAGAAAAGACCAAGCTAATAACTGCACAAAGTTTTGGTTACAGTCACTTGGCACTGGAGATGCCAAGACAAGCAGTGCCCAGAAGGCCCAGGGCCTCCACATCACTGTATTTGTGTATATACAGATATATATATATATAGATAGATAGATAGATACACATACACATATATATATGTCTATCATTGTTACTAAAGAAGAGTCCATAAAAACCTCTATGATCAGACAAAATTCCTCTTTGGTCTCAAATAGGTTCCTTCGGACTTTACTACACCAAAGTTTAAAATAAATAAATAGGTTTTCTACCAGAAAATCCAGTAAAGTATTAGATCTAATTTAAAAAATGTTGGGCCAGGCACAGTGAAGCACACCTCTAAGTCTAGCTATCCAAGAACCTGAGGCAAGAGGACTGCAATCTCAAGGCCAGCTTGGGCAACTGAGACCTTACCTCAAAGTGGGAGGAAGACATGCACCAGGGATGTAGCAGCAAAGCTGGATTCAATCCTTAGTACCACAAAATGAGATTTTTAAAAAGGAAGGAAGAAAAAGAATAAGGGAGGGTGGAAAAGGGAAGAAAGAAAAAAGAATGAATGAGTATTGGTAGAAATCAGAGGGAAAACAATCTATCATTCTATACTGTAACAAAGAACTGAATTAGTCTTCTTAAATCCACATAAACAAGAAGAGAATGAAGTGTTTACAGTGTAAAGAAATCACTAACCTAGAATTCTAAAAAAGTATCCTTTAAAAGTGAAGAGAAAAAAGGTTCTTCTACACAAACAAATTGTGGAGGACAGGGGTAGCCAACAGATCTGTCTTGCCACAAACATCAAAAGAAGTTCTTTAGAGACTAGAAGAAAATTGCTAAGAATCAGAAATTCAAACATATATACAAAAAGGAAGAGCATCACAGAAGATGTGACAGTACAATAAAATCTTTTATTTTTCTTATGGATTGAATGGATAATTTGTTTGAAATAATTAATGCAAATAATATATTCAATTATGTATGCTTACATCTGAATATACAAGCTCATATATATGTGAAATGAAAGACAGCAATTGGTAACAAGAGAGAGAGGAGTGATTAGGATTATTTTCTTATGAGGTACACATGTTTGAAAATAGACTTGAAATTATAAATGTATATTGCAAACGCCAGAGCAACCACTCAAAAAAATAATAATAAAAGAAATATAAGAAATACACTCAAAAAGAAAAGAAAATCCAAAACTATGTTCAATTAAAACTGCAAAAGAGGAAATGAGTAAATGACAAATATAAAAACAAAGATCAAGGGCAATAACTAGAAAACAGTAACAACAATGATAATTAATCCAAATATGTCCATTATCACTTTGAACATCAATGATCTTAAATAAACCAATTAAAGAGAGGGACTAGCAATGTAGGTCAGTATTAGAGTGCTTACCTACCATGCATGAGGACTTGGGGCCAATCCCCACTACTGAGGGAGAAAAAAGATATTAGCTGCATCTGTTTGCAAGAAGTTCATTTTAATTATACAAAGACACAGATTAAAAGGAAGAAAAATACACCATGGTAACATTAATCAAAAGAAGGCAGGACCAGATACATGAACTTCATTGAGCTGGCTTTGGAAGTGATGAGGAACAGGAAAGTTATCAGAGATACAGAAGGGCATAATATAGCCAAGAAGATATAATATCTGTGTTGCTGTACACCTAACAACAGAGTATGAAACTCTATACACAGACAAAGTTCAAAGAACTGCAAGGAAAAACAGATGAATCCACCCTGAGAGCTGAAGATTATGATGTTTCTCTGTCAGAAATGGACACTGTCAAGTTGAAAATCAGTAAGGATAGAGTTCAACCCAATCTCATTAACTATTAAGTGGATATACTGACAGCTACTTCACCCAACAACAGCAGAATATACATTCTTTTCAAACTCATATGGAATGTTCATCTAGAAAGACTAAATCTACAGCATAAAATAGATCCTAACATATTTAAAAGTCCACCTCTTATGAAGTATGCATGTTTGAAAATAGACTTGAAATTATAAATGTATATTGTAAACTCAAAATGTATACTGTAAAATATCTGCTCTTCGACTACATGAAATTAAACTAGAAATCAATAACAAAAAGAAAACATCCCAAAATACATGGAGGGTAAACACACGTTCTAAATAACACATAGATCAAAGAAGTTACAAGATAAATCATTAAAATATAGGAACTAAATGAAAAAGAAAATACAACTTATCAAAATTTGTGAGACACAGAGAAAGCACACTTAGAGAAAAATTCATAGCACTGAAGCCTATGTTAGAAAAGATCTCAAGATTTAAAATGTTATATACTTGTATGAAAATACGTTATACCCAATATTTTATAACAATATGTACTAATAAAAATACACTTTAAAATGTTTAATAAAAGTAGGGTAAAAAATATTTAAAATCAGTTATCCTAAGTTTCCACCTTCCAAAACTAAAAGTAGAAAAGCAAATTAGGGATAGGGGTACAGCTCAGTGGTAGAACACATGGTAGCACACGTAATCTGGGCTCAATCCCTAACATCAAAAAGAGAGGGGGGAAAAAATGAAATCCAGCATAAGCAGAAGAAATAGCAAAAGTCAATGAAATTGAAACAACAAACAAGCCAACAACAAAAAAGAAAGAATACAAAGGCAACAAAACTACAAGTTAGTCCTTTGAAAAGATCAGTAAAACAGTAAGCTACCAAGCCAGTGACAGCAAACCTTTTAGAACTTCCAGTGATACCAAACAGCTTGCTGTAGCATGCGTGCTAAATGTTTACCACCACTGCTCTAAGCCAAGCTAAGAAAAAATAGAGAACTAAATTACTGTATCAAAGAAAAAGGAAAAGGAAAAAATGTAAACAAAGCACCTAAATCTTGATGTCTTACAAGGCAGAGCCAGATCACCAATGTCATATAGTATATTCTATAGCCTTTCTTTTTTTTTTTTTTTTTTTTTTTTTTCTATAGCATTTCTCACCCTTCTAATTACTAGTTCTCTTTTTGAGGCGGTTAGCAATCCTTACCATTGCATTAAGCTGGGAGTTGCTTGCCTGCGTAATGCCAAGAATGTTGGTGGTGTGCATCACTTCAACTGAAAAACTCGGTAACCAGCTTGCAATCCGGGACCCTAAAACAAGATCAGCACAACTTTTAGAGCCCTAGTAATTCCCTATGCTGGTACTGTAGCTACCCATTCCAAAATAAAATCTGGGGGCTGGCAAGATAGCTCAGCGGACTAAACACCTGCTTAGGCAAGGACCTGGGTTCAACCCCTGGAACTGCATGTGGTGCCAGCCACACCCCAGGTGAGCTGAGTCTGCCACCTAGACCAGGCATGGTGGTGCACACCTGTAATCCCAGTGCTGGGAAGGCTGAAAACAGGAGAACTACAAGTCTGAGCTGTAATGAGACCCTGTATCAAATACATAAAATTTTAAAACTAAAAACTAAATAAATAAAATAAAATCTGGTATACATTGAGGCTTAATTTAGTAATACCTTTTGTGTCAAATATTTCATGTGCATTAGTACACTTAGTCTTCACTAAAACCCACGTAGTACCACCCCCCAGTCAGCTCAGTTTATTCTTCTAAGTGATACAAGCCTTGTCACCTGGCCATTTGGTCTCTGGTCCCCAAGACACTATGTAACTCAGCCAAGATTGCACAGTATAATGATGATGACCAGAATGTGAAGGCACATGATAAAGTTCTAAAATACTCCACTACTAACCTCTCCTGCTTTCCAATAGCCCTTGATCCATTCAACCTCTGAACTATTTTCCAGGCCTGGAATCTAGGGAAGGTTTCTTTGGCTCTACAGCTGCCACACCAAATGAGATCTGCTTCTCTCTTTCACACCATATGCCAATTCCTATTCGTTTGAAGACATCATTTTCACATTTACTTCCATGAAATTATTTTCTTTTGAATAATTTGATTTAAAGATTTAACTTTGTTTTGTGACTCAAAATTCTTTTCAAAGAGTTCCATAAAACAGGCCTGTGGAGTGACAGCACCATGAAGGCTGCTATTTCTGGTATTTCCCTATGGAAAGTGGAGCCTGTGACACAAAGTCACCAACTACTGGCCCTAAAACAACTCAATATAAAGCTACACATTTAAGAATGCTATTTGCTCCTCTTCTCTCTCCTCTTTTTCCTGTTTTTTAGTGGTGCACATATGTGGAATTAGGGACTGAGTCTCAGGCCTCTTGCCTGCTAAGCAACTGATATATCACTAAACTTTACCCCCAGTCAACCCTTATTTTGAGACAGGATCTCATTAAATTGTCCAGGTTAGCACTGAACTTGTGGTCCTCCTGCCTTAGCCTCCTAAGTAGATTGGATTACAGGCATGTAGCAGCATCACCACACCCAGCTTGATATCAATTCTTTACAAAGAAATAAATAAAATTAAATAGCCATTTCAAATGTTTTGCCAAATAAAATGTACTCATTTAAAAATGGACACTGATAGGCCTAGTGGTACATGTCTATGATACCAGCGCTCAGAAGCTGAAGCAGAAAGATAATTCTGAGTTCAAGGCCAGCAAGACTATATTAAAAATAAACAAAACTCCAATAAATAGATAAAAATAAACAATGGATATTTTGTGTACGTATAGAGTCAAAGGTGATTTTGACAATATTTTTAATAAAAACAATTCATTAAAAATGGCATATTTGACCATGATCTATCTCCAAGGTATGCTAGTATATTTCAAAGAGGACTATACCTAGTTAAGGCCTTAATTAACAGCAAACTGTCCCTTGAAACCTTTCCAGCACCCACGTCCAGACAGGTAGCCCTCATTTACTCTTCTCAGGGACTTGATTCTTCTCCTCAGGGGACTTTTCTTTGAGAGAATTCACCAACATGACACCACTTATACCATGCTCCATGCTTAGAAACTCAAATCAGAAATCTGAATAGTTCCTTTGCTAATACAAACTTCAAGGATATCAGCTTTCTAGTAACAGAAATATGAACTCACAAAATGCAGCAGTCCTGGAATTGCTGGACATCAACAAAAGTTCAATATATATAAATTAAAGAGGGTAATCTAAAGCACTGGGGCCTTAGAATTTTAAGTGATTTTTTTTTTTAAATAAAACTTTTAACACTCACTACTGGGAGGTAGAATATTCATATTTTATGGACAAGACAACAGAGTTCCAGGCATGATTTTGCTTCTGGTATTTAACGATGGCTCATTACATGTTTAAGTATAACCCAAGTCCAATAAATTCTTAGCAAAGGTTAATTATTAAACCACATGTGCTTCTTCAAGGCAAGGCTGATTCAATTTTACTATCTCTACATCCTCCTATCCCATGACACAGAATCTAGCAAAATACTCAGCACAGATTTACCCCTCAATTCAATCTACCCATGCACCCGGAACACTTGCGCTGAAATTGAAATATTAAACTGCTCTGTACAGGCAAAGTATGCAAACAGTATCCTCTTAGGGGAGAAAATCCCATGGATATAGTTTTAAATGTTGAATCCAACTAACCATCAAAGTGGAAGAAGTGATTGTGTTGATTTAAGCGAGGTCTGCCTTCAGCAGCTGCTACAGGAACCAAGTTCTCATCTAAATTCTCTCCTTGATGGTCTTCCCTGGCTCGATTATTGTCAGCAATATTAAGAGACATTCTGCATGTTGGACAGGAGGTGTCTTGTTCTAGCCAGGAACGAAGACAGGAACTACAAAACATCCAAAGTAAGACATATGAACATCCACAATTGTTCCTTAGCATATTTTTAAGGATTCACCAGAAGTACAGAATGTGTAACATGTGTTCCAATTTTACTTTCTATTTACACGTAGCAAGATTTAAATGTCAGGAAACATTTGTCCTATTGCTAGTGCATCTTGATATGAACATTAATTCTTGACCATGCACAGTCAACTACCAAACCTCTACTGACAACTCCCTTTGCTAAGACTTCACAGCATGGGTCACCATCTTCCTTTCCAATACTACCTGGTTATTTCAAAACCCATATGGATACCTTGGCCTCTTCTGTCCTTCAGTCCTCTATTCCAGTGATCTTTTCTTTCACTCTGCTTTAGCAGTATCGCTGTAACCTTGGCCTTATCTTCAGAATCTTGTCTTTGGAGATCTCACTCCCTCACCAAACAAAGCTCCTCTCCTTCCAACTCATTTCTGTGGGACCTAACTTGCTAAGACCACACATACACTTTTTCATCAGTATGACAGCCTCTCGTTCCTTACTCCTTTCCTCAACCAGCTCACCTATAACTACTCCCTGACATTCACCACCTCTACTTTCGCCACATTCTTTTCTTTGTATTGTGTTTTCCCAACATGGCTGAAAGCTTCTTTTGCCCTCTCAGGAGATGATGATGCCCTAACATAGTAGATGCTTATTAAATAAATGTGGTGACATTAAAGGAAGGGTACAAAAATATTAAGTAGAAAATTTGAGATCTGGCCCTAACTCAGTCATTAATTAGTAGAATATTACTGACAGTCTTCAATTTCTCGGGACTAGTCCTCTCCAGTGAAAACTGAGAAAGCTAGATGTGATCTCTAGGAGCCCTTCCCATTTTATGAAAATTCATTATATTTTCTAAGCACTCACATAGGCACTGATTAAAAACACTCTCAGATTCTTTTTCTTAAAAAAAAAAAAAAGTAAATATGTACATAAAGTTATAAAGGAGAACCTCACCAAAATGTGATGACCCTCTGAGGAAACACTTTTCCTTTTAACTATAATCTTTCAACAAAAAAAAATTTATCCTCTATGACACCTCAGTATAATTAAATATTCACTGGCCTGTGAAATCTTGCCAAATTCAATAGCTGCAAATTATCTAGCTACTGTCTACTGGAATCTAGCCATATGGTCTTATCACAAATTAAATGCACTTGCCTTACATTAAGTGTGTACAACCTGCCTTACATAAGCCATGTCCATAGGTTGTTTGCCCTCTTTTTATTTTGTTGTTTGTTTTTGAAGTACCAGGAATAGAACTCAGGACCTTGCACTTGCCAGGCAGGCCCTTATGCTGCTGAGCTATCTCCCCAGCTGCCCTCTTTTTAAATGTTGGGGGACACAAATGAACGACCATTTTGTATCTGTATATTCAAAAATAGGATAGATATACACCTGCATTCTCTTAATTCAATGAATAGAGAGATCTGTTTTAATAGTGTTTGTGGACAGGATATCATGTCTGCATTTTGTACAATGAATAACCACTAAGACAACAATATGCATGTATTATTAAAACCATGCTAAGAATCAGTTTTGAAACTGTCACATTGCTATTTGTGTCTTGATTTTTTTTTTTTTTTTTTCGGGGGGGGGGCTGGCTCAGGATGCCTTCAAGCAGGTCTGGCAAGGCTTAAGGATCTGGGGATCAAACCACAGCATCCTGAGCCTGTTTTGTTTA